CACTATACTATGTAATATATACATACACATATGGCATATATACATAGGATTAAATAGTGTATTTTGGATGTTCAGTAATAGTAAATAAATAGAGAGGAAAATTGTATCTCTTTGAAGCCAGGCAAGGCACCCCTTGATGTGAGTGATGTCAAATTGGCCACGCCCACCCAGTCACATGACAAAAAAGCCATGCCCACCAAATAAGCCACACTCACAGAACTGGTAGTAAAAAAATTTAAATCCTACCACTGATTATAACCAATGAAGTCTACTATCATGTCACTATCTTAGGCATACATGATCCCTGGAGAATTATACTTCAGATATAAAAGGTTACTTTGAAAGGTGACTAGGAGCACAATAAAAATGATATAGTTATTACTTTCAAAGAAGAGGCTTTAGCATTATGACTTAGAGGAAGGGGAAAGGTCTTGTCTTTCTCCTAAAGCAGTGGTCAGGGAACAGGGGTAAATTACCCCAAATGGGGTAAAAGTGAAAATCTGGGGGTAATGAGGAGGTTGCGCTGGCCAATGGCGGAACTATCGGCATAGCAGCAGTTATTAAAACACCCTTGAGGCAAATTTATCCCCTCCACCCCACCCTTGTTTCCTGGGTCGGAAATGACTCCAGGCTAGATTCTGCAAGAGCCGCGCCGCCCGTTTTTTAGGGGAAGGCGAGCTTCTGGCATAGGGCAGAGCATTTTGGGAAAAGGGACGCTTTCCCCCGCGCTGCGATGACCGCACGCTTTTCGCGCGCAGTTTGTGTCACCGTGGCTCCCAAATATCATCCTCCCTTCCCGCTTTCTTGCCCCCAGGCCCTGCCTGCCTGCCAACTAGCCAGCCAGCCCGGCTCCCTCCCCGAAGCCTCTCATCACTGCCAGGCACACAGGAAGCGAAGAGGCACCTGCAACTGCCGCCTTGGCCCCGAGAAAATTCCCAGAAGCCCTCGGGAAGCCTGGTGACATTTCATTCCCTGGAGCGAGCTATCCCGCCTTCTTCCCAGCCGCGGGGGGGGGGAGGGCACCTCCTCCCGCCTCGACCTCCAAATTATGTGTCAGCAGCCTGAGGTGGCCGGGGAGGGGGAGAGGCCGGGAGGGGTAACGTCTGCGTTTATAAATTTTTTGGGGGGTAAGAGGTAAAAAAGTTCCCTGACCCCTGTCCTAAAGGAAGAATAAGGTTAAATTAAATATAGGCATCCTATTTTTTCCTAATGTGGAGCCCTCTGGATGGATCAGAATATAACTTAGCTTTCCCAACCACACATTTTGACTATATTTTGAGGAAGGCATATCCATTTTGTTATGGATTTGAGGAATGCATCTCTCTTCTCTGTATCTTTTCCATTACACTTCTTTTCTGTGTCTTTTCAGTTTATCAGCTTGCTAACCAGATATATCTCTTCAAAATTCTATGAATAAACAAACAAGCAAGTAAAAACAACGTTGGATTATATGGAACATCTAAATAATGTCTCTAGCCTCTAAGAACTAAACCAAAACCCAAGTCAACAAAAGCATCAAAGAAATACACTATATATAGTTTGTTGTTTCAAAGGAAAGAATTGCTTTAACAAAATGTAGTATATTACAAAAGTAACATACTGCATTTTAATGGAATACATATTCATATTAGTTTTGGAATTTAAAATCAAGAATTAATACAGAATTATTATTTATTAGATGTTTATTTTATTATAAGGACAGCTATCAAAAGTAACCTTTTCGTGTTTTCATGTATAATCTCCCATAACACTTTCCCTTTTAATACAAAGTTTTCTGAAGTATTATTTGATACAAAAAACAAAACAAAACCCTGCTGCACATACCAAGAGCTCAGAGTTACAGCACTTCTATCCCAAAAATTCGGAGCCTAAAACTACTGGAAGAAAACCTAACATGGATTAAAAGGACATCTTTCAAAACTACATTGCATCAAAAAATCTCATCCATTAAGGATCCAATACATTGTCTGGCTAATTACAACTTCTTAACTGTTAAGACAATGGCTCAGTGCAATATTACTGAATTTACATCTCATTTAACACAGCCAGACATTTTTTTATGGTTTCATCATAATTCCTAACATATGGTGGTTGCAATTGACATATACTCTAATCCATGGGAAGGTAATTCATTCACTACTGAAGGCCTCATTGAAAATGCATCATGAACCAGAAGGTGAAAGCTTATTTCAATAATTTATGCACTTTAATTCCCTTTCTTAGCTATGGCACTTTCAAACACAGAGCTGATATATTACTCTGAAATACCTTCTGTTTTTGTAATGTGTCAAACAAACAACATTCTAGGACATTCTGTTTTATATGTACAAATTATCAATAATCGGTGAGATAATCAATAATTGGTAGGAATGTAGATATCACATAAATCTACTTGGCTAAGTAAGTGGGTATTTATTTAGAAAGACAGGATTGATGACAGGAAATTGGAGATGTTTTGATCCAGGCTGATATTACAGGCTGATACTACACAAATATTCTGTTCCATCAGAAAAAGGTAACATTGATAGCAATATATTCATATCTAAATAGTGTCCTGAGGACATAAGTAAGCTTTACTGATAGAATTTGTTTATGCCAGTGTGGAGGCATATTTATTCCACCAACACTATTAATTAAGGCCTAGAAATGTGATTTTAAATGTAAACAAGGAAACATATTCAGCAGCTGGATTAGACCTATTCTGGATATGTCTATAAACCCTTTGAAAATGAAACAAGACAGCAGACGTAAAATATTCTTTAAATTCCACTTGAATTTTCCTTTCAGAATATTCAGGAAATAGTCTCCTCCCACCACACCATCAATTACACTGATGTATCTCACCCACATGCAAAAGATATTCCAACTCTTGCACTACTCACCACTCCCAGAATTTTCTTCCATTTACCTTCTGCTAATCCCAAATCATTTTTATATTACTCTAGAGCAGATATTTCAAACACAAGGCCCGTGATGTGTTTAGACCTGGCCCACGGAATGGTGCCGTCCCACCCTATCCCCTGGGCGTGCACACAAGGGCCAGCGAGTGCGTGGAGCCTAGTGTCACTGAGAACTGTCTTGCCCCGCAGGCTGATTGCATTCCGAGAGCTTCCCTTTCACCCAGGATGCCAGCACTCGCTGCCTCCTGTGCGCGTTCCCAGGGGGCAAGGCTGAGGTGGCAGGGTGGCCTCTCACTGGCTCCAGGGCAGCCCCACAGATCTAAGGCTATGTTCCAGCTCGAAAGGCTGCCACCAGCCATATCCCTCGGTCTTCAAGGCCAACCACAACCCTCCTGTTGTCCTCAATGAAATTGAGTTTGATATCCCTGCCTTAGACCAATTGGCAAAGAATGCTTCTCAATAAATTCTAAGTGAAAGTTAAGCAAATTATGGAGAAAATATATTTATGTAGTCACTAGGACTAAAAAGTGACTTGATAGCAATTAATCAATCAATCCATTCATCCATGGAAAAAGTTGAAATGTATTGTTTCACAAAATTGATCAAGAAATTTCATAAGCACTATCACAAATGTAAACAGTTTTCCATATAAAGCAACATATCTTAAATTTGGACTAAATAATTTATGTCACATGATCAATTTTTAAAAATGCACTTTTATAGCCAACAGGGATAGAATATGAAAACATGACTTTAATTCTGAGAGATACTAGACAACTTGTGCCCTTCAGATTATCATTTCAGAGATATTTCTTTACCTAAACGGGAAAAAAAGAATGACCAAAAGAGGACAAAAATGCAGTGAGATCAATAGCAACCTTTGATTTCCTCCCAGCTTCCCCACTGTGTTCCTTAGGGGACTCTGGTGGGGAGCAGAAATTTTCTTTCCTTCCTTCCTTTCCTTCCTGCCTGTCTGCCTGCCTTCCCCCTCCCGTTCCCTTCCCCTCTGTGAGTGATCATGAGACTGGCTGGGAAACTGATGGAATGTTGTAAATGAAGATCACAAAAAAAACAGTGGGACCAGAAGCAACTTTCGACTTCCTACTGGTTATCCCAATTGATGTTGCTTGTGGAAAGCAAGCAGGGAGCATCACCACCATAGCACGACCTCTATACTGAGCCCCTTCTATACTGAGCGGAAGAGGGCTTTCCTGTCAACCCCCAGGCAGCCCTACTTTGTGGCTAGGGGGCTTGAATTGATACCTCATACTTCCCTCACTGCCCAGCATCATTAAGAGATTTCAGTTTTCAGCATCAATTCCAAAATAGACAATAGCTGTTCATCTGTCAAAATTTGCTGCCGACCAATTGATTGCAGGGTAAAGAAGAAGTGGGAAGAGGGTGAACATTTGGTGCTCCCATCTTCTCTTGAGCCACACAACCTATGGATTTCTGGAAAGTGTACAGTAGTTGCAAGGCATGATGGTGCTGAAACACCACGACTTGCACAAATTTCATTCCTATGGGAATCATGGATCTCAACATTCTGTAAGTTATTCTACTGGAATTACCTTGATTCAAAAATTGTTGACCTATATCTTCCAATCTCGAAGGTTACAAACAATAATTCAGTAATATATAATGTTCTATTTATTTAATGTTTATTTAAGGCATATATTTACTAATATAACATGCAACACAATATTGGCAAAATTCTTCTATTCTTTTTTCCTCATTCAGAAAAGTTATAAAATTTTTACAGTTTTGTTGAATCATATCAAAGGTTTAATTGAAATAAGCTGCAATGGTTTAGACAAAATGTAGGCTGGAAGGAATAAATGCTACATGTGTATAGGGAAAAAAAAACCTCCTCTATTGTCACTTATCACATATTAGGGGAAACAAAAACTTAACAATAATTATGGTGGCTTGATGAGAAATGTAACACTATATTTTGAAAACATTAGAATGGGAAAATTAATTTAAATTCAGGGAAATGTTGACCCTTTGGTTATGAGATGAATAACAGAACAAAAAGTCCTAATAAATATCAGAGCAAGGAACCATGGAACAAAACATATGCAAAAATGCAATACTCACTATTTGTATGTTTCTGAACGAATATATTCAAACACATGAGAAACACCCAGTTGGAATTGATCTGCAATAGGAGTTACCCATGGATTATTTTCTGCTTTGAAGACTTGCTTTTGACCTGTCAAATCCAAGTTTCCTGAAAAAATTAAAACAGGAATTTAATATTGCTGAAGAACATCTGATTACAAGAAGAATGCTTTAATACTATCTAGGAAGGAGAAAAAAAAATAGGAGGAAGCAAAAAAGGCAACAACAGCAAGTGCAGCATGAATATGCAAATTCCTACATATTGAGTAGATCAATATGTGACCTAGAAGAGAGGTGTGAAAATCTATTACACTTGGAATGATCTAGTCAACACCTGATAAATTAACTCTGGGGAAGGGAGAAGATCTTGAGGTATGTATGGGCTGTGTTGGAAACTTCTGCAAATTGGAGATTCATTATCCTTGCCCTGAAGGTTTGAAATTGAACCTTCCTATGAAGTCCTGAAGGGAGAGATATCAAATCTTGTGATACCCCCTGCTTCTTATAAAAAATATTTGAAAGGCTGAATTAACAAACATGGATAGTTTAACTGGTATATTTTCATAAAATTCATATGCTCATGAATATATGAAATTTTAGTCTCTAACTCTGTCTTTTAGAGTCTTTTAAACATGAAAACCATGCAAAACCTAAAAGCCATCTAAAACCGAAAACCATCTTTGTCTTTTGGACCATCCAAGTATATTGACTTCTGTGAAAATACTTGCATGTGATTTGAAATAGAAGATTTTATTTGAGAGAAGGTATGCTGAGTTAACTACCATGTGAGAGGTGAGGTAAGCCAGGGTTGATAACATGCAATTTTGGATGTGGCCCTATTCTCTTGTCCCTTGTCATGCCCCTGTCGGAATCTGAATCTGAGGGGGAAGACGAACACCTGAGAGACAGTGGGAGTCATTCCATTGGCTGTGGAGGAAACTGGGGAAGGGCTGGGCAGAGCAGGGGGAGAGATAGAACATGGGAGAGGGGTTCAGATGAAGACAAGGCCCACCCCCTCCTCATCTTAGGGCACACAGGGAAGAACGCAGAAGAGAACAATGTGGATTGCATGCTTACGAGGAAGGAAAAGGCCCCCACACCTGGGGATGGAATTTAAAGTAGAGGCAGCTGGGAGGGGTGTTTGTCAGGGACAAATAGTGAATTTATCTAATGTTGTGAGTTTTAGCCTGCATTCCTGGCATTCCTTCTGTCTGTGTGAATTATTGCCATGCTTCTATGTGCTTATCTACCTTGCTGCAATTATTGGATTCATTATCTTACCCTGCTGGATTGATTGATTGCAGTCATTCTGCTTATAGCATTTGGAGTATCTGCAGCCAGAGGCTGTTGTAGATTCGTGGGAGAGCTTTTCTCCAGGCTGGAGAGTAACTGGGACGTTGGGGGCGAAATTGGAGCAAATAAAGGGACTCATACCTATTTTCTGGCTGGGTTGCCTTCATGCCACGCCCCGGGTCATCACAACTCTCAACATCTATTGCTGTGCTTACTCCTTGCCAACTACTTATACACATTCTCCTGCCTGGCAACGACCACTCCTGAATCATGGTATTAGCAATCTGTGTACTTCTCCTACTCGGCATGAACCACCCCAGCCAAGCCCAACAATGCTTGTGCTGGTCACCCACACAGCTTCCCTTATCCATATACTTTGCACTGCAGGCAAGTTACCTGCCTGCTGGCCTGCTTACAAACCACCAGGACTTAACAACCCACTTACTTAACAACCCACAATTGTCACTTAATTATATGGACAACTGGGATTGCCATCACTAAGTGATGCAGTCACGTGACATTGCACTTCGTAATCATATTGCTTTCTGATTGAAATTCCAGTCTCAATTACCATAGTTAAGTGAGGATTATCTGTAAAGCAAGCACTAGACACACCTCACCAAAGAAGGTATTACACAATTCCAGTAATGCTGGAAAGATTGCTATGAAATATCTACTAACTATATGATTAGCATGGAAATCAAAAAATGATGTTAGGATTTGATTAAGAATACATGTAAAGAAGTTTTCTTTCATATACTGTAGTCCGAGACCACGATAGTAGCATAAGCTACATGATGGCCGGAGCTTCATAGCACTCTCAGATGTCAGAATATCTATATTTAAGTGGGTACAATTGGCAAACTTCTTGAGATTTCAAGCAAGATTTCAAATCAGAATACAAAGGTGGGATTCTACTGGTTCGGACCGGTTCAGACGAACCGGATGTTGAAGTTACATCTGGTTCACCAAACCAATTTTTTACCCGATGAGCTGGCCCCATCTACCCCACCCCGCCCCTTCCAGGAGTCCCCATGTGGCCCATTTTTGATGGAGGTAAGTGCAGGGTCTGCATGGAGGCTCTGGGACGGGGAAAAATGGGCCTTCCGGAAGTCTGGAAACAAGCCTGTTCCAGTTTCTGGAGGGCCTTCAGAGGCCAGGGGAGGCCATTTTCACCCTCTGAGAGGCCCGAGGGAAGCCTCTGGACTTTTGGGAGGACGAAAAATAACCCTGCTGGAACTACCGGAAGTCCGGAAATTGGGCTGTTTCTGGCTTCCAGTGGGCCTCCAGAGCCTGGGGGAAGTCATTTTTGCCCTCCCAGAGGCCTGGGAGAGGCCTCTGGATCCTTAAGAGGGCAAAAAATGGCCATCTTGGAAGTGTCGGAAGTCCAGAAATAGGCCTGTTTCCGGGCTTCCAGTGAGCCTCCAGAGCCCGGAGGAGGCTATTTTCTCCCTCCCAGAGGCCTGGGGGGAAGTTCCAGACCCTTGGGAGGGCGAAAATGGCATCCCTGGGCTCTGGAGGCCCACCAGAAGCTGGAAACAGGAAGTAAGCCACGTGCACCAGGCCACACCCACTGAGCAACCAGGAAGCGAACCAGTTGCTGGGATTTTTGAATCCCACCCCTGGCTGAATTCCATTTTAGAATAATAACACAATACAAGGAAGAAACAAAAGGTATCATATTTTTGATCAAGGTTTTTTGGAAATTTAAGTTCCAGCCAAAAGTACCGTATATACTCGAGTATAAGCCGAGTTTTTCAGCACATTTTTTGTGCTGAAAAAAAACCCCTCGGCTTATACTCGAGTCAGAATCCCTCTGAAAAAAAAATGGTGTGGAGCTCCGGAGCTGGGTAGCCGCTTCCCTGCTTCCGTGTTTCCTTTGCAACTTGTAAGCATGGGGGCAATCGGAAGCAGAAAAGTTCTTGCATGAGGATATATTGTTTTTTCTTTATTTAACTGTTTTTTTTGGGGGGGGAAAGTCCCACCGTCATGTGAGAATGCTCAGACACGAAATCTATCCGCCTGAAAATAAGTGTGTGTGTGTGGGGGGGGGGATTTTAACAGAGGGAAGACATAGGGAGAAGGCAAAAGCAACGGCAGCTCCTCCAAAGCGCCCGTTCACCCCCACCCTGCCGCCCGCGGTTCAATCCAGTGCTCCGTTCTGCCTGCCTGCCTTCGTTTCTGGTTGTTTCGGAGCAGCTTCGGCTGAGTAAAAGAGGCGAATAGTTATTATTCTCAGCCAAAGCTGCTCCGAAATAACCAGAAACGAAGGCAGGCAGGCAGGCAAAACGGAGCACTGGATTGAACCGCGGGAGGCGGGGTGGGGGTGAACGGGCGCTTTGGAGGAGCTGTGCCGACAGGAAAAGCCACCCTGCCGGCTTCTTTGAAGCAGTTTCTTCCTGGGCTGGTGAAGGAGCGAGAGAGCGACTGAGAGAGGAACGAGGCGGGAGGAAACCGAAGCCACTGAGCTGGAGAGCAGGACAGGCTTTGGTTGCTTCCTCCCTCCCCTTCTTTCCCTTGTGTTCTTGATCCCTGATCCCAGCAGCATTCACCGAAGGCGAAGAAAGCCGCCATTTTTATTTTATTTTTATTTTCTTTGCGGCCCGGTACCAAATGATCCACGGACCAGTAGCGGTCCGCGGCCCGGTGGTTGGGGACCCCTGCCATAGTGGATATAGCCAAAATGTACTTGAATTTTTTTGAAATATATGTGTTATTCTCCTTAATGTGTCAACAACTAAGAATGACTTAATATATTTTTCAAAATCTATTTTGACTGTGATTCCTATATTTTATATATTGATCTAAGGCTTTATAGCCAACATCAATTCCATGATTATGAGCCTCTGAACTAATACTATGTGGTCTAATTAGCTATTATTTCTGAGTCTGAAAACTTATCCATTGAATAAAGATGCCTTGACACACACTCTAGACTGATAATTATTTTGTCAGTGAGGTTAGACAAGTAATTTAATCCATAAGAACAAAAATAACTTAAAAGGTATCTACAAGTCAACAAGAAAAACTCAAGAAATGATTCTATCAGCTAAGGATTGCATAAGATCACTTTTATCATCAGACGTTTATCATATACCTTTAAGTTACAGAAAGCTACAAAATTAGTACTAATATTTAATTAAAGGAATATAATTGAATATTTTTAGTTACATTTGTCAAATCCAAATTTTATTTTGATATCCTCAGTGTACAATATATTCTTATGTAAAGATTCAACATCATTTTTTGATTCTCTATATACCTTCAAATCATCTTTCTATAACAAGTGAAATATTTTCCACTTTGCTTTTACAGCTCATATTCAAATTTTATTTTATTCAGGATATGAATGAGATTTATTACTGAAATCATAAGCAGCAATGGAATTAAAGAATTCCCCTTGAAAAAAAAAACTTTCCTAGTGTTCATATTTCTAATTTTTCACTATTTACCATCAAAATTATCTTCCATTTTTCTATAGTTTTTTTAAAACAAATTCTGGAGGTCTGCTCTAATGCCACTTATTTCCAAAAATTTCTGTATCTACTTACGCAGGCAATAAAACCCTTTTTATAATCTATCCAAGTTCTTTTTGTAAACTGGTTTACCTTGGACATTTTTACCATCATTTCAATCAATAATTAATCTTTTAATCTCATTAATTCTGATTTTTTGATCATGTGGATACAATTTTTGAATATGTACCGTAATTTCAATTTGCACTTGCAAATAAACCAATTAGTTGTTTGAATATTGTTGGCAAGTGAATTGATTTGTAATTGCATGCAAAAATAGATGACTAGTAGAATTTTAAAT